AAAAAAAAAAAAAAAACGTGGGTGGGGGTGTGTGTATGTATGTGAAATATCTCTTTGTTCAACACTGATTCCCCTGAGTATTTTTGTTTTTGTTTAAACTGTCCTATTAATCAGTTTTGAAACTGTCTCATTGATATTTGTTTCTCAAAAAAAAAAAAAAAAAAAAAAAAAAAAAAAAAAGTCAGGTCTTGCCCACCCACACCACACAGCTGGTTGGAATGCTCACTCTCAGTCCCACTCCAGATTTACTAAATTGAAGCCTGCATTTTACCAAGAACCCAGCGATTTCTTTGCACAGTCAAGTTTGATTATGCACAGCTTAAAGTCACACATGCGCTTATCTTCCTGCTTCTGATTTCAGGCACCTGCCCAGCAGTTCCTAAGCCTAGAACCCCCGTGTATGCATCTTCTTCGGGGAGTCCCCCCAGCCCATTTCAGTGGACACTCCCCGCCCCCCAGGAGGCCTGGAGGTTCCAGAAACTGGGGGCAGCCGGCAATGGAGCCAAATCCCATCATGCCTCCTCCTCGGTCCCAGGTCTGCACCCGCCTGGCAGAGCACAGCATGGAAGGTGAGAGGTGCTCGTCTTCACCCACAGGCTCCAGCCTTGCTGAGCCTGGTTGGTTTGGGAATGAACACATCCGGGCAAAGAGAGCCAGAGTGGAGACCATCATCCGAGGCATCGGTCTCTCCAACACCCTGGTGCCAGGCAGTGCCCGAGTCAAGGGCAGTGCATGCTACCCGGAGAAGGCCCTGGGGCGGAAGGGGAAGCAGAGACGCCCTGTGCAGCAAGTCCTCCTGCAGCCAGGCCCTGCCAGGAACCAGGTCAACAGGAAGGGGGGGCCCGGAATGAGAGAGCAGCTTCACCAGCTGGAGCAACAGCTCAGGCGCCTGCAAGGGCACATCCTGCAGGCTACTGTGCCCACGGCCACAGCTCAGGGTCTGGGACTCCTTGAGCCGAGGACAGACCCTCTGAGTGGAGCTCAGAGAGACGGCTACAGGCCTCATCCCTGGGTTACCAGCGGAGGCCTCAGTGGGGCAGAAAAGCACAGAGTGTCTGAGGCCCAGCCTCTGTCTGAGGAGCTCCGATCCCTTCCTTCGGGAGCACAGGCTTTGCTGGAGATTCTCAAGAAAGAACTGACCAGGGCCGTGTCCCAGGCTGTGGAGTCAGCGCTGCAAACGGTGCTGGCGAATCCGCCCAACCTACTGGCCCAGCATGGCAGGACCTTCCAAGGACTGGTACCAGAGGGTGGAGGCGAGCCCTGGTCTTCCGAAGGGGGTACCTCGGAAGACGCAAATGTTCTGGCCTTGCTTAAGAGGGGCCAGTCACATGCTGGGGTCTCTTTGGAGAGTGTGTCCCTGGCCGAGCCTGCAGATTCTCCCCAGTGGTACTCAGTCTCTCCAAGAAGCGTCCCCAGACCCTTTCAGGGTCCCATGGCAAACTATCCGTTGGCGGTGCCACCCCACATTCGGAAGAACCAGATTCTCAGCCCGAGACTGGGTCTCCCAGCCAGTAGCCGTGGGAGCAGGGCTCCTCCGCAGGCCTTGCCGCCTCAACCATACCCCTCCGCAGAGCCTGCCCTGCGCCCTTGGCTTCTGAGCCTGCCTCTCGCCGCGGCTCCTCTGCAGAGCCGGCCTCTCCTGGCCTCAGTGAAGACAGAGCCTGGCGGCCTGCGTGCGGCCCCCGACGCGCTTCGGTTTTCTTCTGCCCACGTATCCTTTGCCAGTCGCCAACAGCCCTGTGGTCACTGCCCAGAGAAATGAGTGCGGAGGTGGAGCCAAAAAGCCACAGCGCACAGGGATGGGTCTGTTCCCACGGTCTTTCTCTTCCTAATTTCTCCTTCTCCCTACATTCCTCTTTCCTTCCTTTCTCTATGCCCTCCCATCCCCTCATCTCTTTGTCTCTGTCTCCCCAAGGATATTTAACCCAGAATTAAAATAAGAAGAAAAATAGGGCCTGGGAGATAGCTCAGTAGAATAAGTGCTTCCCTTGGGGCCGGGGAGATGGCTCAGTGGAATATAGCGCTTCCTTGGCAAGCGCAAGGGCCTGAGTTCAATCCCCAGTTCCACTAAAAAAAAAAAAAGAGTAAGTGCTTCCCTGGCAAGCGCAAGGACCTGAGTTCAGCCCCCGGTTCCCCAAAAAATAAATAAAATTTAAGAAGGGCCGGCCAAATATTAAAGCGCTGGGGCTGGGGGTGGAGGCTGTAAACAGGTGGATCACTACGAGTCCTATCTGAATGAACATCCTATAGACCCTTCCCTAAAATACAGAAAAAAAAAAAAAAAAATTAACCCAGGATCTTCCCTTTTAAATTTTAAGGCAGGATCTTGCTAAATTACTCAGGCTGGGCTCAAACTTCTGATGGACCTTCCTCGGTCGTTCAGTGTCAGGATTCTAGCCTATGCCACTGCACCAGCCTTCTTGAGGTCTCAGTTCTGCTCCCGGGCCTTCCTCTCCTGGGGCTCACAGCCTACTTTCTGACCAAGTGGACATCACACTCTAAAATTTAGGGATTCTGGAGGGGTCAGGGAGATGGCTTAATAGGATAAGCGCTTGACTGGCAAACGCAAGGATCTGAGTTCAATCCGAGCACCATGTGGAAGGAGAGCCTTGCAATCTGCTTGCCAGCTTCCCATCCTCCTGGGCAGAGTGTCAAGGGAGTGACTTAATCTGAGATGTGGCTTCTCCAGCCTTCCCTCATGGCTCCAGCCAAGAGCCTGTGTGGCCTAGACGGCCCAGGGGGAACCTTCTGGGGCAAGAGTGCTTTTCCTTAGGAGTTAGAACGAGAAAGGTAGCTGTCCTGCAGCCTAAGAAGTAATTTCCAAGCTGGGCTGGGCTGGGTGGACACGGGGAGAGGAGCTGGCCCCGCTGTGGGTAAGTCTGCAGTGTTTCCAGGAGTCCTGCGAGGGTGGAGACCATTGTTCAGATAGAAAGAAAATGTCATGGTAGATTCTGGGTTTCTTTAGCGTGGGGCCCCTCTAAGCCTTTAACATGCTGACAGGGAGCCCGGGGAGAATCCAGGCAGCGCCCAAGAACCCTCTTCCACCACGCATTTCCAGGACTGAGGTTCCTCAGAATGTATTTTTTTGTTTGTTTGTTTGTTAAAATTTTAGTTTATTATTTATGTGTGTGTGTGTGTGTGTGTGTGTGTGTGTGTGTGGCCAGCTCAGCCCACCAGGGGGGCGGGCTGGCTGGCATGTGGTGCTGGGGGATTGAACCACTGTGCCTGTGCTTTGCTGAGCTTGTTCTAAGTAGGTGCTTTAGACCACTGAGCCATCTCACCAGCCCCTGTATTTTGTTTTGAGACAGGGTCTCCTTATGTAGCTCATACTGGTCTTGAACTCGCGACCATCCTCCTGCCTCGTCCTCTGGTACCTGGGGATTGCAGGCATGAACTGAGCCACTGTGTCCAACGGATGTTGTTTTAGATAGTTGTGCCCACGCTGCTGTTTCTTATGTGCAGCCTTGAGCCCACGCTCCAAAGATTCATGTGTCCGTGAAATTTAATATCAAGGTGTGAATAATTCTGTCCTCTGCTAGGCAACAGTGGGATGGTGCCGAATGGGGCGGGCTCAGTGCCCCAGAGCCACCCTGTGTTCTAAGTGCTATAAGCGCCCTCTGCTGGCGAGATAAACGCCCCACAATTCAGGCTTTGCTGGAGGAGCCAAGAGCAGCTGTAAACAAAGACCACTTCGTTTGCCACGCTCCTCCTTGAGGCGGTGAGCAGCCTTGCGGGCAGAGCCTAGCGCAGACTGACTCGTCTGTGCGCGAAAGGCTGCACGTCTGGGTCTCTAAGAGGTCACTGGCCAAGACTCCCTGTTAAATTTACTTAGGATCAGGGAAAGAGCCGTTCTGTAGGGCAGGGCAGGCATAAATATCAGCAACGTTGAGCCCTACGGAACGGAACGGCAGAGAGCTTCAGGAGGTTTTGGGCTCATGCTGAGATATCTAGGCCGGGTGCCAGGGATACGGCTCAACAGCACAGTGCCTGCCCGGCAAGCAGGATCCTGAGTTTGATTCCTGGTACAAAACATAGAACGCCCGGGGCTGGGGAGACGGCTCAGTGGAATAAGTGCTTCCCTGGCAAGCTCAAGGAACTGAGTTCGATCCCCGGTTCCACAAAAAATAAAAAAAATAAAACACCCCAGGCAGGGTCTGCTTGCACTGGTCAGTTACGCAGCTACCTTAGGCGTGCTCTGGGGGGCCTGGGCAGCATTGCACCCCTACTTTTTCCCTCCTTCCTGCTGCCTATATTCTACACCTGAGCTTGATTCCTGTGCCCACACAAGCCACTTAGGAGCAGCTGCTTCACAGCCACAGCCCTTGGCGGGGATGAGGCAGGCAGGTGTGACGGTCCCAGTGGCCTGGGACTCATGGAGCACCTCTCTGCATCTGGCCCAGTGTTTGAGCCACATTGAGTCCTCAAGTGTGCCCTTTAGGGTCGGCTACCTGAGAAGCCCCAAAGACACAGACGGGTGAGGCGCCTGACAGCCTTGTACAAGCTCTGGCCATTGACTCTGTTGTAGAAAGGCGAAACGAGAGGTCCCAAGTTTGATTCCAGGACTGGAAAAGAAAAAAGATGGCTCAGAGCAACTAAGTGGTTTCTTAAGGTGACACAGCTCCTTAGTGGCTGAGTCAGTTTCCTTGGGCTCCCCAATCCTGGACTCTGCGCCCCCATCCATGAGCCTGTGGGCCAATGAGGTGAGGGGCCAAGGGTCTTCCGCACAGTTGCCTCAGGTCACCGTAACCATAGTGGGTTTGGTTTCTTGGTTAAAATGATTTATCCTACTAGTAAGTCTTAAATGTCCTAAATCTGCAGCTCACAGACCTTATACTAAGGGTGGCTCTGTAGGACTCTCTCCCCTCAGACTGAAAGTCCCTGGCAATGCCAACCAATCTTGGGTGACAGTCTTTGCCTTCCTCCAATGTGGGACCAGGGAGTTGAGCTGCAGCATTTCTGCTCTTGTTAAATAGAAAGGAATCTGTCCCATGGTGCAGTTGGCTTTGGGGCCAAATTTCCATATATGTGAATGGATTAAGGTTCACTCACTCCTTCACCCAGCGCACATTTATTGAGCACCTACTATGTGGCTAGTCCAGTGCTAGGCACACAGAACACAAAGATAAACAGATGCGGTCTTTACCCTCAAGGAGTTCACAGTCTAAATGGGGGAGATAAACATGCAATTAAAAATCCCATAAAGTCACTGCTATGACAGCGGTTTGTACAAAGCCCCGGGAGAGGAGGGCCTGAACAGTAAGGAAGGGTTCACAGGCTGGGATCACATGGCTGGGACGTGTGAGAGGCAGAGGTGGCCGCGGTTCAGTCTCCGCACTGAGCAGGGGCACAGCAGGGACCTGCGCCCAGTTGGCTTCCCTCGGCCTGGCTTCCATCGGCAAAGGCAGTGCAAACGACAGCTGGGCTGGCAGTGCTTCTCACTGTCCAGGGGAGAAATCGGGGCAGGGAGGAAACACATTGTGCTTGGGGCTCTGAAGCGTTCGGTCGGCGGCGAGCTGCGCTTCTCATTCTCAGAGGGAACACACGAGTGCACGTATCTGGCACTGCGCGTGCCGGACGGTGCACTGCTACACAGCAAGGCATTTTTCAAATTCTGTAACACACCTGTGTATGACATCCAGCTTATCTGACAAATTTTGAGAAAGAGAAAAATAAAATATTCCATCCAAGCAGAAAAAAGGAAAATAGAAGCCACAAGGAATGGGACAGCCACTACTGGAATGATCTGACAGAACTGATAAACCGGAGCTGTAAAATGTTAATTTTCCTTGACATTGAAATGAATCCAGGAAGGTCTCAATCCTGGTCACCTGAAGAAGGCCAAGCTCATGTTCTTCTTTGCGCGGTACCCCAGCTCCAACCTCCTGAAGGCTTACTTCCCTGACGTTCAGGTAAAGTCCTCAGCCGAGGCCCAGGCGCTGCAGGCTCCCAAGGGCAGTGGTCTTGCTGTGTCAGGCAGGTCCAGGGTCCTCGCGTCAAGCTCTCTGTGCCCTTGATGGGCTTGTGCAAGTCCTAGTTCTGGGAGGAGAGTGCTGGAATAATCATGGTGGCTTCGGGCCAGGAAGTCTGGCTATCTGGAGTTTCAGGCGTTGAGCTGTGCATAATCCTAGAAACACATGGGAGGGAACGGCAGCGGGAAAGGGAAACGCCAGCACTGAGGGCTCCTTGGCCTGGTGTTCCAGCCTTCAGCAGAAAGACTATGTACAAAGTCAGACACTGTCAAACTTACGTTCAGGTCACTGTGTTCCCAAACTGAGTGAAAGTATGCAGGACAGGAAGGAAAACCAAAGTTACTGTGGGAGCCAGTGCTGGCCTGCACATTGGGTCGGATCCTTGCAGTTCAAGCTTGTCAGGTCCTTCCCTCACGGTGTGGCCTGGTTGATCCCTGAAGAAAACTTACTTGGACTTCATTCTGCAACTCCTGTTGGTGAGAAGCTGCTGCCCTGAGCCCTTAACAGGCAGCAGGCTCTTGCGCTGCCACACGAGCAGCACTGTGGCCTTGGCCCCATACACGCTCCCAAAAGCCACACTTCAGCAACACAAAAGGTTCTTCAGGTGGAAACATTTTATAAATTTGGTACACACAAGTCCTTATAAATGGGCATTGGAGCTAACTCAGAGGTTTGGGTCCAACTGAGCAGGAAAATGAAGTAGCTCTTTTTCTAAAGGGGCCCCATTTATAAGGCTGAATCCCCGTTTGCATCCCCCACTCTGCATGCTAACAGCTCTAGTTCTGGGCGCCTCACGGCAGGTGTCTGACTCCATGCGCCTCCTGTTTGCAGTTCAACCGCTGCATCACCTCCCAGATGATCAAGTGGTTCAGCAACTTCCGCGAGTTTTACTACATCCAAATGGAAAAATCTGCCCGGCAAGCAATTTCAGATGGTGTCACAGATCCCAAAGCACTGGTGCTTCTCCGGGACTCGGAGCTCTTTCGTGTCCTCAATGCTCACTATAACAAAGGCAGCGGCTTTGAGGTAAGCTGCAGTGCCAGGGCTCCATGAGGTATTTGGAGGCGCGTCTTCTCTGAATGTTTGGTGCTTCAGCGATGAGCCTCTCACGGAGAGCCACAATGGCCTGCGACGCATTTCATGTCAGTGTCACCACCCAGATTGCAGCTGCCACCCCTATGCAGGCAGCTAGACACAGCACACAGCCAGTCTTCACGCTCCTACAGCGGCCTACCAGGCCTACTGCCAGTCTAGACTTAACACACTGGCAGATCTTCTGTCGTGGCTTTAGGAAGCTCCGGACTGAATGCTGGGCTCAGGGGCAGCAGCTGCCTCGGCCTAAGTTTTCTTTCTTTTTTTGCAGTACCAGGGGTTGGACTCAGGACCCTTCGCTTGCCAGACAAGCGCTTATTCTACTGAGCTATCTCCCCGGCCCTGGCCTAAGTTTTCTTCACAGTTTCTGTTCTTCTCATTCGGTTCTTCCTGCTATTCTCACTTGAATAGTCTTATCTGCTGGCCTTCCATGGCAACTTGCCTCAAATTCTTCCTGGAAATGACAAATAAACATGCATGTGCCACACACCTGCAGTCCTCGCTACTCAGGAGGCCGAGGCTGGAGCCCAGCAAGGTCCAGAGCAGCCTGGGGGATCTCAGGAAGGCACACGGGTGGCACTTTAAAGTGAGCCTGGGTGTTACTGGTGTGGCTTCTCATCCTGAGATTCGGGTGGCCTCCTGGGTGGTCTGTGGCCACGGGCTGGCAGCTCTTCTGCAGGGTACAGGGCCTCTTCCGGCGTTTTTCAGCTGACTGTGCCCACGGGAGAGGCCACTGGCATTTCCAGGAACAGCAGGAGCCGCTGGCGACCACTGGTTGGATTTTTCAGCCACCATGTTTGGAAACATAAGCCTACCCAGCCCCAGGCCAGCATGGAGGCGGCAGCACAAGTCTCTCCATTGGGGTGCTCACTGGGTGGGCCTGGAGGGTGTGTGGGCCACCCCATCGCTTACAGTCCTGGTTTCGAGGAGTTCTCGAACAGCCCTACTCAACAGGCTTTGCAGTTGCTCTTGATCCAGCTGAAAGAGCGGCTGAAGTAAACAACCCTGGGCGTGGGGCCATTCTTTTCTGTGAAAGGTTCCAGGAAAAGAATGCAAACTCTCTGCAGCACAGATTTCCTCTCAGCTTCCTCCTCACTGAAAGGTTCTCAGGGGTGGGACCAGCTCCTCCCACAGCACAAGCTTTGCTCCAGAGCTGGCTCGCTGTATCTGTCCTCTTAAGGCTTGTGTGTGACGAGGAGCCAGGCCGACAGAACAGGTCGTAGCCACCCCACAAGGGGCAGAGAGTGTCAGCCAGTGGCTCGTCGGTGCCGCGCTTCCCAGCCTCACGTCTTCTCTTTCTCGGGGGTCTCTTTGGGAATGCAGGTCCCAGACTGCTTCTTGGAGATCGCCAGTGTGACGGTACAGGAATTCTTCAGGGCTGTCTCCACGGGGAGAGACTCAGATGCTTCCTGGAAGAAACCCATTTATAAAATTATTTCGAAACTGGACAGTGACATTCCAGAGATATTCAAGTTGCCCAGCTATCCTCAGGAGCTGTTTCAGGGTGAACATGAGTGACTGGCCCAGAGTTTCCTTAGCTTAAGTAGCACACTCATATAAAAGGGTACTAGGAACCCCTGAATAGATACTGTTGGCATTTTTTTTTTTTTTTTTTTTTCGGGACGGGGGATTGAACTCAGGACCTTGTGCTTGCCAGGCAAGCACTTATTCTACTGAGCTCTCTCCCCCGGGCCCCTCTCCGTTTTGATCACTTATTTCCCTTTGCAGAATCATCAATTTTAACTTTAACCATACTGTATTAACTAAGTGTATTGGTGGGGTACTGCAAAGAAAACAAAACTTGGAATTAGAAGACTCTCAACCTCAACTCCACCATTGCCGGGTGTGACCCTGGTGACTTCCCGGCATCTCTGCACCTGTAAAACAAAGTTTTGAAGAGTAAAAGAAAATACGTCCTAATGTGCTGTGACATATGACTCGCATCTCTCTTCTCCCAGTTTTTATGTTACCTTATAAGGGATTTATTTGTTTACACAGAATCTTGCTGTGCAGTTCAGGTTGGCCTTGAACTTGTGATCTTCCCGCCTCAGCTTCCACGTGCTGGGATTACAAGCATGCACCACCACACCTGGTTTTATATGGGTTTTTATAAATGGCTGTTTTTATTTTAGGTACCTATATGTGAAGCTTCACCTATTTGTTAGATGTTTTCACATATCTTTTAAGATTTTTTCACCCTGAAAAGCAGTTATTCTCATTTTAAAAATGACCACACAGAAGTTTGTGAACCATGAAGTAATTCCCCAAAGGCCGTGAAGCTGGGACATTGGGGTTGACAGGCTCAGAAGGCTGAGCCAGACCACACGCTGGGCCAGCTCACGCTGTTGTTCAGGATCCCACGTGGGAGACAGCCTTGTGATCCCTGTGGCTGCGTCATGCCACGGCCCCTGCCTGGCGCCTAGGAGCACAAGAAGGTCAGCCCACGAACCACCCAAAGAGCTGACTGCTGTGGCTCAGCCCTGTCTGCAGGGAAAGCCTGTTGCTAGACGACCCAAAGGGGCTACCTGACCAGGGCAACTGAGGCTTAAACCTCTATGGATAAAAGAAACAGAACTTCAACCTGTAAAAGCTTCTGCCCCAGCCTAGACTAGGAAGGAAACAGGTCTGGCTGGAGGCCAGCCTCACAGATGATGAACAGCACAGCCGGGACAGACACAGCACTGCACACACAAATGGAGATCCTCTCTCTAAAGAAATTACAGTCAGACTCCACTGGTGAAAGAAACCATGAAGTCTACTTTTTCCTAATGGCCCAACACAAACTGTGACTCAATCTGTGCACACAGAAAGACACCTGCACAGGGACTGCTCTCCTTCGGGAACGTCAGGGCCGTGTGACACGCGGCTCGGGCTCTGGAGTCCTGCTTACAGGCCGGCTGTGAACGCATTTGCTTGCTTTCTTCCTACGGATGTGAACAGGTTCCATATTCAGCTGACCTAGTACTCAGGACTTCATGGGTGGGGTGTGAGCTGCAGAGAGCCTTAAACTATGACGCTGGTGTTGCATAAAACGCTTGCAGGTGGACGCCAAGGCTTCCTGCCAGTCACACCATCCAGCTAAGGGGCGTCTTGAAGTGTCCTTCAACACATTTAGTTGCACTAGGATAATCTTTGGCCTATTTACTCCCCATTTTCACAAGCTCCCCTTATTAAAGTGAAGAGATCTGCCAAACTCAAGATTTAAATACAGGCAAGAATTGAGCGCCTTGGCAGGGGCAATCAGTTCTGTGCGGAGGCGGAAGATCCCACTCTCCAGAGTGACATGACATAGTTAGGGAAGACATTCATGGGAACCGCACCAAGGTCACGTGATTGGTCAATATAGAGCAGCCCCTTTCTCTGTCCAGAACCTGAAACTCATTAGCCTGTTTTATTAATTTTTTTTAGCCTGTTTTAAAAGATTGAGCCAAGCCACCTCCAGGGCAGTGAACTTTGTCTTAAGGACCAATTAGATGAAATGTGCAAGCTCAAATTAAAAACATTTGTGTACTAGGCCTTTCCAGGAAGTGTTCTCTAACCATTGAACTAAACACAGAAGAATGTATAAATACATATGCTCAGCCAACAGCAGAAATCTATTGTATTAGTTTTCTGTTTCTTCCTGAGTTCAATCCCCAGTACTGAAAAAAAAAAAAAGTTTTCTGTTTCTACCAAGGATACCTCTTTCTGTTTTAAGAATATTTTTTGTATCTATCTTTTTTTTTTATGGAACGGGGATTGAACTCAGGCCCTTGCGCTTGCCAGGGAAGCGCTTATTCCACTGAGCCATCTCCCCGGCCCCAGGAATATTTTTTGACTGGAAGCTGAGCTGGTTATTCTTTCAGCAGTCACAACGTGGCCAGAGGTCTGGCCGTCCTTTTCACTAAGGTGCATGTGGGTATCGGCCTCTTACAAGTGAGACAAGTTCACGGTCTGCTCAAGCACTGCACTGATAGAATAAGCGCTTGCCTGGCAAGCACAACAGCCTGAGTTCAATCCCTGGTTCTGACAAAAAAAAAGGAATAAGCATTTGCCTGACAAGCTCAAGGGCCTGAGTTCAATCCCTGGTACCATTAAAAAAAAAAAAAAAAGGCACTGCACTGAGGTCCAGTTTTCAGTAGTGGATGACAGGTCTGGACGGGTAGTAGGGTGACAGCACGCCCGAGGAGCAAAGGCCCAACTACGGTGAGCAGCAGGCAGTTAAAGAGAAAGCTCTTTAGGCACTCTCCTTTCCACCATGGTAGAGTATGGACAACACCAAGCCAGACTCAAACAGTGAGATGTCAAAGGCATCTTCAGGGCACAGAAGGGGTGCCTTGGGCCACTTTTTATCCACCAAAGAAAGGGCAAATCACAAACAGCAAATTTCTACACCCCAGTCTCATTATACAGAGGCCCACTGTAAAAACATTGCCTTTGTTTTCAAAATAAACAATGACAAAATATAGAATCCTCATTCAGGAAGCTGAGACAGGAAGGAGGATTGCTGCAAGTTGGAAGCCAGCCTGCACTATAAAGTAAGTTCAAGCCCAAGACCAGCCTAAATTGTATAGCAAGACCCTGTCTCAAACCTCAACACCAAAATCAATCTAATAATTAAAAAAAAATAATAATTTTGCTAAAATTTTTGTAACTTGTTTCCTAAAGTTTTATATATTCAAAATTATCATAATCATTGATTCATTTGTATGCATGCAAAACAAAGCAAATTTTAAAAATCCTTTGATTTTTTAATAAAACTAAGTATTTGCATAGATTTCACATAATGCAAGATGGCTTTCTTAGAACTGAGAAAAACAGAAAAGGGGGGCCAGGGAGATGGCTCAGTAGAATAAGCGCATGCCTGGCAAGCGCAAGGGCCTGAGTTCAATGCCTGGTTCTCCAAAAAAACCCCAAACCAAACAAACAAAAACCAGAAAAGGAACTACAACAATGGATGGGAATGAGGTAACACTTTAAAATAAGTCTAATCAGGCTGATGACTAAATTATATAGATTGGAATTTGGAGAGTGTCATAAAGTTCTTTTGCTATTGTGCAGCCCCTGGGGATTTTTCTTTGAGACAGGGTCTCACTACACAGTTCAGGTTTGCCTTGTGCTCACTTTTGTAGCCTCTAGGCTGGTCTCAAACTCAAACAGATCCTCCTGTCTCAACCTCCTGAGTGCTGGGATTACAGGCATGTGCCACCACACCCAGTTCCAGGGCCACAGGGTGGGCACCTGTATCCAGGCCAAGATAGCGCACAGCATGTGGGGCTGGGGACCAGAACTCTGGTCCTTGTGCTTGCCAGGTAGGTGCTTATGCCTCTGAGCTACCTCTCTATCCCTTGTCCCTGGGGGCTGAACCCAGTGCACCATACCCCAGGGCTTGCTCCACCACTGAGCCACACCCCTCCACCAATGCTTTCCAATTCTTCACTGCTTTCAGGCAATGTTTTTGGGGCAAGGGCAAGGTCAAAACAATATGGCAGGGGCTGGCGAGATGGCTCAGTGGTCTAAAGCACCTACTTAGAACAAGCTTAGCAAAGCACAGGGACCTCAGTTCAATCCCCCAGCACCACATGCCAGCCCACCCCACCCCCTGGTGGGCTGAGCTGGCCACACACACACACACACACACACACACATAAAAATTTTTTAAAAACCCAATATGATAGGACTTCTCATGACAGTATGAACCATTGGTCAGATTTACAGTAAGTACACGGAGACATATCTGTACAGTGTGTGCTCCTGTGACCTGCGTGTTCGTCACGCGTACTGTGCCCCACAAGCAGATCACAGTGCCTATACTGACAGTTACTAAGAGCTCACCGGTGGGAGATGCTTACAAAAAACATTTCCCAGAATTAGACATTCACAGATCAAGAAAAAAGCCTCTTCAGACTATATTGCCCTCAACAGTGCAGCCATATGCTCAGGAGGTGAATGCTCCAGCATAATTTAAAGCAAAGCCCATTGGGCATGGTGGTCTATAGTCCCAGCACGTACGAGGCTGAGGCAGGAGGATCACTGTGAGTTCAAGACCACCCTGGGCTGCAAGTGAGCTCAATGACAGCTTGAATTGTGTATTGAGACTGTCTCAAGATGACTTTAAAAAATAAATAAATGGGGCTGAAGAGACAGCTTAGTAGAATAAGTGTTTGCCTGGCCAGTGCAGGGTTCTGAGCTCAAGCCCCAGTACTGAAAAAAAAAGGTAAAAATAAATAAATAGGGCCAAGGAGATAGTTCAATAGCACAAGCGCCTGCCTGGCAAGTACAAGGTCCCGTGTCGATCCCTGGTACCCCAAAAAGTAAATAACTGAAGCAAAACCCAAGTAGATGCTAGCTTCAGAAGAAAGGTGTGTGTGATGCAAGGCGCGCACTGGTCAGCAGCCGAGGAGCACCCACCTGAGACCTCACCTGCTGTACGCGCTCCGCTGTTCTGTTTGCCTTCTCTCAGGCCGTTTTTTTTTTTTTTGGTGGGGGCTGGCGCTGGTTCAGCCTGCCCTGAGGGCCGGCTGGGCAGCAGTGGTGCT